GTTTTAAATCAGCACTGTGGGCATTTCAGATTTCAACACAGACAGTTAATTGGTACACTATAAAAAAGGCATAAAGGTAAGTTTTATTAGTCCAATAAATCCTGAAAAACGAGGAAAACTCTCAGTTAATGTTGAAAGCTGCAGTTATCATAAAAAATGTGATAATGGTAAGACAAACGTTAATTTGAGTAAACCAATGCATTCTAGTTTTAGTAGTAACAGTAATGTTAAATCTGCATTTAGATAATTTCAGAAACTTCTGAGACATCTGAAGAGAAAGTGAGGTATCACTGATTTGTTCCGCAGAGAGGAGGGATCAGGAAGCCAAAGCAGATGTAGTTTCGGATAGCATAACAGGAGAAAGTGACGAAAAGAGAAGCAGAACAAGCTGTGCTAGGGCAAAAAGCTGAGCCAGGACAAGGAATTGAAATGGGGAAAGCAACAGAGGATGAAGAAATAGATATATACTTCAAGACAGAGGAGTGGATAGGGTCAGACAGCAGAGGGAGGAGAGCCCGAGTTCCCTGAGACTATTCAAAGTGATCCCCATGGTAAGATGTCTATCTGAATTTGAAGAAATTATCTGAGGTTTCCTAAGACATATCAAGGCTGCAGCAGGAGAAGCTTCTGCCCAGAATGGTACAAAATGACACCCTTGGTTGGAATAATCCCAGAATAGAGACTTTTGTTACTGTTTTGCTTGCTGGCATTTTTCACTTTCTGATGTTCCCAAAAGTGTTTTTACTTTAGCTGTTGGATATCGTAATTGGAAGAAAGCATTGTTTACAGACCTGCTTATACCAAATCTCAGAATCAGAAAATGTAATGATTGTGTGGGCAGAGAATACAAAAAGAGTGAAAAAAAACTCTGATGATGTAATGGAAAGTCATTGCCAGAAACAGGTACTTGATGACCATACGTAAAGACAATAGCAGAAATTCTAATGACCCTGTGATTAAAGAGAGATACATTTTTTCCTTGTTGCTGGCTATTTGAGAAAAGTATTGAACTTCATTTCAAAAGGTTGAATATTCCAAACTGTGGCCTTGCAAATGTCCCATAATCCATAATGGCCTACAAAAGATTACAAAAGATTAACTCCAAAAATACAAGCCTGTAATGTTACAGACATTTACAAATTTGCTATATAAATTTGCATTTTGGCTATGGCAAGAACAATATAGAATGTGAATATGTGAAAAATAGATTGTGCATGCGTGCAGCTTAGAGGGAACAGTGGTCGTGTGTAAGATTCTATTTTATTTCTTCTGCTGCTTCCTCCTCAGCATGAACTTCTTCAGCTCTGGTAACATCAGTCTCATCGTTCTCCTTTTTGGCTGATTTCTGCTTTTTGTTGACCTGGAGAGATGATACACAATCAATGTTACTGTTCCTACACTTCTCAGCCACTACTCAGTTTAATACATGCATTTTTTACTCTGAAGGACCTTATAGTAGAAATGAAGGGCAATGTTCTCCAAAAGCAGAATCAGTGGCAGGAAAACACATCTCAGGACTAGAATTTTTGGATCTGTGGAAAGAGTTTTGTATCATCAGTTATTATGAAACAAAGATCACTGGTTTTAAAAGCTTTGACATGAAATATTTGAAAACTTCTCATACATAATTTATGTTAACATTAAGGCAAAATGATTGCAAAAGTCTCTTTACCATCAATAGCTCGCCATCCTAGACACACATGGTTTAGGAGGCGTGGGTAATGATGGCCAGTATGGTGGCGTCATTGAAGCACTATTAGACTGAACAGCAGCCACTATGGATATGTTTGGTAGTCTTTAGCTAGTTAAACAATTCTTGTTATTTTACCTGCATCACAATTATATGATCTTAAAGTGAGAGTTTCAGGTTGATTTTGAAGGATTCAACAAAAATATTGAATGTGCTGTGAAGGACATACTATTTTATAGCCACAGTCTTCAGCAGGTGTGGTTTGTTTCTTTGCTCATCAATTGCTCATACTACAGAGCATAGTTAGTGAAATTGATTGTAGAGTTAAAAAACAAACCAAAAAAGTCAAATTCTTATTTTTGATTCAATGTTCTTTCTTTCTTTATCTTTTACTACAGTGATGTTTAACAGCATCCATTTCAATATGTTTCAGTTAATCTACTAGTTATT